GTAACCACTTAAATGAAACCAGGCTTCATCAGAAAAAAAATGATATTATGAAGTTCACCGTAGTTGTTTAAAAACCATTCACAAAATACAGCCCGTCGCGGAAAATCAACTTCATGAAGTTCTTCCTGACAAGTTAAACGATAGGAGAACAAACGCAAATCTTTTTTTAACACTGTGTGGCAGGTACCGACTGATACTCTCACCATTTGTGATAAATCACGTACAGAAGTTCTTGGCGCATTTTCCATTATTTGTTGGGCATTTTCTTTTAATTCTTCAGTCCGCTTTTTAGGTCGGCCGCTTCCTTCTTTTCTTGTTACACTGCCCGTTTCACGAAAAACATTAACACAACGCTGAACTGCACTTTGAAAAATTTTGTACTCAACAACGCCGGGAAATTGATTTTGAAATTCTATGAAACATTCCTCAATAGAATACTTCCATATTCCATCGATCTTGCGTCCATTTCTAAAGTAGGATTCTATGATAAACACTTTTTGTTCTTGAGAAAACACCATTTTAAACGCTTTTTAAAACGAAAATATTCAAATTGATAGCGGCGATATAGCGCTTTGACAGATGACGTTTAAGTTCATTTGCTATACGCTACGCCCTACGTCCAAATTTTCAGAACCAACTTGACCACGTTTTTATTTGAACGCTCGTTACTTTTTGTATACAATTTTACGACTAATAATAATCAGAATTGATTACATGTTTCGCCAAAAATAATTTTATTTGTATTTGAAGGTGAATTTATTTAGGTAAATATTATTGTTTATCGTGAGTATGAAATGTACATGGTGGCTGTTTTTAATTGGGAAACCTGACTGATTGTTTTAATGTGAATGTAGGGCACATGACGCTTTGTTTTCGAGATATCGTTGAATTTATCATTATTTTTAAAGGATAATTCCTAAAAAATCAATTTCTACTCCCAATACTCCCATAATGTTTTAGACTTTTGATATGCATATTAGATGTTATATTTCAAATTGTACTATCAAAAATATTCCGTTAATTTTTTTTAGTGTTGTTTTCGCTCTGTTTTACTTTATTTTAAAGGTATTAAACTAATTAATGTCGCAAATTGAATTAAAAAAATAAAATTACATATAATACATAAAACTTTTAGAAGAAATTACAACCCTAAGGAAAATGCAGAAATAGTCAGATTTTTCTCTCGTGATTAGTCTGACGTGTTATTTCAATATGTCAGGAATGTTTTTATATCAACAATATTCCGATTGGTAGACGTATTTGTAAGCTAGCATAGCACATTTTTATCTCTATGATGAAGAAATGTGATATTTGTTTTTAATTTCAACACCCTGTATCTCGAAAACGAAGTTAGTTTTTCAACTATAACATGGATCACCCTGTATATAGCTGGAAATCGTCAAGCTTGTTTCGCTTACATCGCAGTTGTAATTATTTTCTATAAAAGATCAAAAAACTAACAAATTATTGTTTTTTTGGACGTTTTTTCATCAAACGAGTTTTTAAATCTGAATAATATTAAAAATATCTTCAGATATTTGACACAATGTGGATGTCAACGACCTTTCAATGGCACGTACCCAATTAAGAAAGCAAATATTTTATTGCTAATTGGTGAATCACAAAACCATAACTTCAAAGCTGCAGCGATTATCAATCAAAGCTACGAGTCCAAAGCATTTATTTCAAACAAATTCGTAAAAAAATAACAGTGAAGACAGATTAAGGAATAAACTTTTCAGTTTGAAAGATGTAGCGGATATAATTTAATATCTAGCCTATTGTCGATGTCGCGAAGATAAAGACAACATCCAAAACTTATTAGGTGTAACGACCTCTGAAAGGTTTGTAAATTCGGATGCTAATGAGGGGCCCGCAAGAGTTTTAGATTCAGTTCGAATCTTGCATTTTTTTAAGTCGAACATGGCACCTCTGATGCAGAGGATAGCTCCCTGGTAAATGTTACAAAAGAATACTAATATTCACAGTTAATCGACGGGCGAATTAAAGCAATTAACAGAAGGTTCTGTGTCTGTGTTTTTTATAAAAAAGGAATTATTTTGTGATTTTTAAATTTTTTCGAGCTTAGTACTTTATATTACAAGTGAGTGAAATAAGCCATTATAAGCGAGTGAGTTGTTTGACGAACGAGCGCTTGCGCGAGAGAGGCAGATTCTCACGTGCTTATAATGGCACTTATTTAGTCCAACAGTTCTGCAGTTTTTTAAAACGAAAGACACACTTGAAAAGGTATTAAAAAAAGTCGAACAGTCAAGTTTGGTTGTCAACGTTGGTCATCATGGATAGATGTTGTTAAATAACAAAATTTCATTTTGACGCGCGTGGAATGTGAAGAAATCTTTGCCAGATAATCGATAGCGATAATCGGTAATCGACAAGTCGAATCTGCATATTTGGGATGATTTCCGCGAAAATGTAAATAAATTTACGAAGGAATATTCATTATACAAAGCTTGGAATACAGTACAAACAAACCCGGAAATCTTCGTTTTTTTCAAGAGAAGGAAATCCAAAAATATTCTTCTGGCAGATCGGCAGCTATTCTTAGCAGATTGTGGCGTATAAATCACTATTTGTTGTTGAAGGATATGCCGAATATTCATTTTAACATGAAATCAATATTAGAAATAAAAATTTTAAAAAGCAATGCTGACGCTATTCTACGATTGCACTAGCAAATATTAATAATCTCACAAAGAAAATGAACCCCTTTCTTGTTAGTTTTGGCACTGGAATCCAATCTCACAATGCAACATTTCATTTTAATAACGAGCGTTCAAATAAAAACGTGGTCGAAGTTGGCTCTGACACATTGGACGTAGGGAGTAGCTTATAGCGACCAACTTAACCTCATTTCTCAACGAGCTGTATAGCAGCTGTCAGTTTCAATAACGTTCATGGCTATATAACTTTATTTTAAAGAATAATCGTGATAACAATAACAAACAATTAAAGGAGCTGCGGAAAGTGTCCCCCTCCTTGTTATAACAATAAATTAAAGCAGCTGCTGAAAGTGTCCCCCTCCTTGTTCCAAGCACTTTTCACACCTGTTCCTCAAAGAATTAAAGACATTTTCTAAGATGCTCGGGGTATTGTTAATTTCACGAATCTTGTCTATAAGTCGAGCCTGCATATGGTTTAAATCAGGAATAGGCAATTCAAAAATAGTGTTTTTAAGGTAAGGCCACAAAAAGAAATCACACGGCGTAATAACACATGAGCTCGGTGGAAATTCATGTTCAGCATTGAGACTTATTAGTCGATTTTGGAAAACTTCCCTCAACATATTCATCGTCTCCCCTGCCGTATGTGCCCTTGCGCCATCTTGTTGAAAGTAAAAGTTTGTAATTTCGTTTTCTTCCAGCTAGTTAACAAAAGGAGCGATAATTTCTTCTTTATACCTTTGCGCAGTAAGAGTACCATTAAAAAAAATAGGTCCATAAATCCTCCTTCGATTGAGAGCACACCAAACTCCAATTTTTTGAGCGTGTAGAGGGCCCTCGACAAAAAAGTTATCTGGTTTTTCAGAAGACCACATTCTCATATTCTGTGAGTTTACGTAACCACTTAAATGAAACCAGGCTTCATCAGAAAAAAAGGTGATATTATGAAGTTCACCGTAGTTGTTTAAAAACCATTCACAAAATACAGCCTGTCGCGGAAAATCAACTTCATGAAGTTCTTGCTGACAAGTTAAACGATAGGAGAACAAACGCAAATCTTTTTTTAACACTGTGTGGCAGGTACCGACTGATACTCCCACCATTTGTGATAAAACACGTACAGAAGTTCTTGGCGCATTTTCCATTATTTGTTGGACATTTTCTTTTAATTCTTCAGTCCGCTTTTTAGGTCGGCCGCTTTCTTCTTTTTTTGTTACACTGCCCGTTTCACGAAAAACATTAACACAACGCTGAACTGCACTTTGAAAAATTTTGTACTCAACAACGCCGGGAAATTGATTTTGAAATTCTATGAAACATTCCTCAATAGAATACTTCCATATTCCATCAATCTTGCGTCCATTTCTAAAGTAGGACTCTATGATAAACACTTTTTGTTCTTGAGAAAACACCATTTTAAACGCTTTTTAAAACGAAAATATTCAAATTGATAGCGGCGATATAGCGCTTTGACAGATGACGTTTAAGTTCATTTGCTATACGCTACGCCCTACGTCCAAATTTTCAGAACCAACTTGACCACGTTTTTATTTGAACGCTCGTTATAAATACTAATAAATAGCTGTTTGTTTTACGTTGTTTTATTTATATAAATTATAACTATTTTGACTACAAATAGTCACTAGTGATCAAAGTTTGATTTTAGCAATTTGTAAAAACTTGTAAAACTGCAACTATTCGACAAAAGAGTATTTTTTTTAAAACTTTGTCATAATTCACAAACTTATGCAAATAACAGTGTTTACATCTAAGTAGCAATATAAACAAAACATAATTAAACACCTATAGGAATGTGGACTGTGAGTTAAAACAGATAAGCAACTCGTTTTTCCAAGAAATTAAGCAAAGAAACAGATGAAATGAATTATGTGTGTCGATTTCCGTGAAGTGAATCATAAAACAAAATGTACCTTAACAGTTTTTAAAGAGCCGAACTGACAAAATCATTTCTGTAGACAGTATTAATAAATGATTATAATAATTACCATGCGGATTTTAGTCATACTAAGTTAAAAGTAAATGTTTATACCTAATTTATCTTCGAATATTTGGAAGAGACACGTTGGTTGGGAGTCATCGAAGAGTTTTGAGTTGCCTAGAATTCTTATTGAACATTACGTTAATAGAAAAAATCGCAGACTCATAAAAGTCAATTTTTTACAACCCAAATTATGTAAAAATCTGGCATTTCTGATACGATCGTAGATAAACGTTATTAGGCACAGTTAACCTTATTATAAATATTACACACAGATTATAAAGACACTGTTATAGATTCTTTTTCTCTTTTTTCAGGCTAACGAAAAGTTCCTATTAAGTATGTTAAGGCTAGTAGGGGTGATAGTTGCAGTCCTAAGTTTAGTACACTTAATCGAAGGCCATGGGAGATTGATGGACCCACCTGCCAGAAATTCGATGTGGAGATTTGGCTTCCCTAATCCAGTGAATTATAATGATAACGAATTGTTCTGTGGGGGATACGCAGGTGTGTATAAACTGAGACTCTGTGTAATTATTGTAATATTAGCTACGGACTTCGTATTGTATGTTAAGTAAAGTAAATATTTAAAAACGGGATAAAAGTCTTCTTATAGATTTTTTGATAAATGAGCAAATAGTACACAGTCACTCACATAACTTCTATCTCCCTTGTCTTTTTTATATTCCCATCTGGGAAAAAATTATAAAGATGAAAGTTTTAAGAAATTTCTGGCGAGTTCAAAGAAATATATAAAAAACATATTTTTTTTGTGATTACAATGATGTGTCATATACCACTGAGTAGTTTCCAATGCCTTGTTATCTGCGTTGTTGATAGTACCAACTTCGTACAATATTTTCTCCTTTAGGTCATGCAAACAATTAGATCTTTTTTGTTTAGTTTGTCTTTCAGAATCTCCCGAAATAGCTTCATTGAGATCAAATTTTGGTCTTGCAGATTATAAAATTATAACTTCTTAAGATAAATTTACTTAAAAAATATTCTTTTACCATTTAATAGGTATAGTATTTTTTTGTAATAAAATATATATAAAATTGATTTGTTAATTGTTTCTGTTTAAAAAACTGCTAATGGACGTATAAAAAAAACACGAAATTTTTCTTTAATGGCGAAAAATTGCGTTATTTTTTACAAATTTGAATAAAATTTCAATTTTAACTAGTGAAATTTTGATTGTTTGCGTTTTTTCTTAATTAAGACATTTTTAATTTAATGGACTATGAATAAAGTAGATACATACTTATTTTTTAATGTGTCATGGCCTCAGTCTGTGGCTAAATATTAGTTTTAATATATTTTTTTTTTGAAAGAAATTAAAATGCGTTATTAAAAATTTGTTAACGTCGATGAACAATTTATCTAAATTCAATAATTTATTCCAGAATCCAATTTATTTTAATTTTTCATTAAGTTCATGGATTCACGCATTGCGTAAAAAAATTCAATTGTTTTCATGGCCTTCTTAATATATTCGCAGTTAACATCACTGTTATTTGAATAAGTAAACATTTCTTTTCATTTTTAAAATCTGTAACGAAAAATAATAATTAATTGAATATTTTGTATCATTTTTCATTTATACAGGGTGTTTCAGAAATACCTCCTTTAAATTCAGGGGGTGATAGTACGACAAGAAATAAGAATTTTTTGTCTTATGAACTACATGTCTATCTCCTCTTGTTTTCGAGATACAGAGCGACAAAATAAAATTTTTTAAATAGGATTTTTTCGAAAATTTCCAAACGATGCGAACTGTTTTTATGAAAATTGGCATTCCGGGGTTTTTAAGGGTGCCAAATACGCTGGTCTAATTATTTTTTGGATTTTTCATAGAGGGCGCTAGTTATGCTACATTCCTTTTACATTTTAAGTTCTTCTCTAATACCAAATTTCATAAAAATATTTCGCACCGTTTGGAAATTTTCGTGAAAATTCTATTTAAAAAAATTTATTTTGTCGCTCTGTATCTCGAAAATAAGAGGAAATAGACATACAGGGTGTTCCTAAATAAGTGTCGCAACGGAACACTGTATAATCCTCTTGTAAAAAGAAACATTCTTTTCCTCTTCCATTTTTCTCTCCGGGCTTTCGTTTTCGAGATACACTGTCAAAACATTCATTTTTTTTTTAATTTTTTGCCAATATCTTAGGAACCGTTTGAACTACAGGACTGAGTTTTTGTACACGCATTATCACTATTAATAGCTACTTTTTTGCACCCTTCTCGAATTCATTGAATGGTGGATATTTTAAGGTATCGTAAGGGTTTTTCCCCCCTTAACTTTTACACCACTGGAAAAATAGACATTTGACAGCAAATTCTGAAGCGCCAATGAATTTTACACAAAAAGAGTTCTCTTGGTTCATTGCTCTAAAGTCAACCGTTTTCAAGAAAAATGACTTTTTATGAACAAAAACAAACATTTTGCTAACGTTTCGAAAATCTTTTGTAATTCAAAAGATAGATAGTAATAAATAACAAGTTTAACGAAATTCAACAACATTTGTCACAAGTAGCTATTAATAGTGGTACTGTGTGTACAAAAGCTCAGTCCTGTAGTTCAAACGGTTCCTAAGATATTGGCAAAAATCTGAAAAAAAGTTTTGACACCGTGTATCTCGAAAGCGAAAGCCCGGAGAGAAAATGGAAGAGGAAAATAATGTTTGTCTTTTCAAGAGAAATATGCAGTTTTCCGTTGCGACACTTATTTAGGAACACCCTGTATAGTTCATAAGACAAAAATTTTTTATTTTTTGTCGTACCATCACCCTCAGGGGTGATTTACGGGAGGTCTTTCTGAAACACCCTGTATAATATGATTTGTATGTCTAGTAACTAAATAAGAAATGAAAACTACAGAGCTTTTGGAACAAATTATTCAAACTTTGCATCCTAGTTGCAGTTTGTTAACAAAACTCATCTCAACAGGAATCTTGAAATTCTATGGAACCTGTCTGATTTCCTGAATTGTTAATTTCTTTATGATACTAAATACCAGATCCATATAAAAACTTCTCTTTGGTTAAAAAATTTTCGGGCTGACGTTTTCTTCGAACCTCATTGTGAAGCTAATGTCCAGGTGTATTCCATTAAACTGGTACAGAAATCCTCCTATGTTATTTCCAAGCAATTATGCATCCTCAACACATCTATAACAAGCTCTTAACTTTTTTTTCTGCGTAAAATTAACTAAATCCTTTCTCGTATCTCTTCTTTCAGTGCAGTGGGAACAAAATGAAGGAAAATGTGGCATATGCGGCGACCCTCATCACGTGGAGGAACCAAGACCTCACGAAGCTGGTGGGTTGTACGCCAAAGGCATCATCGGCAGGCACTACAGCGTTGGTCAAAGCATCGACATAGAGATTGAATTAACTGCCAATCATTACGGGCGGTTTGAATTCTTCTTGTGTCCAAACAACAATCCAAGCCAGGAAGCCACCCAGGAGTGTTTCGAAAGATTTCCCCTTTACGTCGAAAGCAGCAAGGATTTTGCTTACCAAATACCAGAGAATGGCAAGAAGAAGGCTGTATTTAGGTAGGTATATAGATTTAAAAAATTGTAGTGGTTGTGGTGAGGGTATTAGTTTGCAAGTACGTAATTAATATACAGTGTGACCGATTTGTTTTTAACCACACTGTAAAATCTTTATTTATTGTGCGATTTTAACCGGACATTTTTTAATATGTAGAGCTTAATGAAGTGTGCTTTGTGAGGGAAAATGAGCGTATTACCACATATCTAAGTATTACGTCAGTTTTTAGGAGTAAAATTGTAATGTTCCATATTAGGGATTGTTCGAGAAAAAATATATTTGCGCCACTGGATTCACGACCCCACAGAAAGGGGTCAATACCAAATTTTTGTCAAACATTTTTGAATTCATTTCATTATTTTATTTTTAAATTTATCAAAACTGAGATTATTAATAATTAATTTAAGTTACTATTTGATATCAACAATAAATTAATGAAAAAAATATAAGGACTTGTGAATTTTTGAGTTGGCTACAAAATCGTTATTATTTAAAAATGTTTGATATAAAATTTGGTATTATCCCGTTTTGAGGGGTTGTGAATGTTGTGGCGTAAATATATTTTTTCTCAAACATTCTCTAATATAAAATATTAGAATTTTACTCCTAAATACGGACGTAGTGTGCCTTGAATTTGGGATCACGCAGGGATCTTTCACAGAGCACACTTCATACTTTCGATTAATGTACTAATATGTTGGATTTAAAATCGATACATACAGGGGGAAATTTAAGTTGGAGTCAGTTTTTTTTAGGGATAATAGTACATGTTCTCCTGAATAAGAATCTGATCTTTTTTCTATAATTCGTTTTTTAAACTGCACTCTAATCCTTGTGTGCGTCGCTATTTTTTATTTTTTTTTATCGAATTCAAGCCATCTAGCCATCTGATGAGCAGCATAACACACGCTGTCTGGTGAGCAACCGCCTACACATGTGAATGACTCGATGAATGGTTGTATTGGTTTGTTCAATGGTTAATAATTTGATATCAATCATTGTGAATTTCCATTCTTTGGTACAAAAGAATTTGTATCAAGATCACGTTTAATGTAAAGATTAACGATTAATACCTGCGTGGTGATCTAAGTAGTAAGCGGACAGACGAAATTCAGTATGAATGACGGAAATTTCAATACTTACGTGCTTTTCGAGTGATAAACTGTGTTATTAGCTGTAAAGTTAGGATGTAAAACAGAGTATTTTCGATATAATGTAATGTGAGATACCTATGAAATGACAAAGCTCCTCTGATTATTATTGGTTCGGGCGAATTAGGTTTTTTTTTTCAAAAATCGGGCCTAATTTGTAGAGATCGAGCGTCATATTGTCGAAAATGCGAGCGCGTATATCTTCTGCCCAAGTCAAGATATCGAAATTCGGTAACAAAGTATTGAAAGGTTAAAAACGTTATCTCGTGTCTGTATAAATTTCAGATTTTTAAGTTGAAACATAAAAAAGTTATTAACAAAAAACAAAAAAAAAGGTAACTCGGGTCCTTATCTCGGCGATTTTTTAATACACAGATTTCAAACCAATTGCATCAAATAGTGCTTAAAAAAACGTGAACTTAAAAAAAGCGTCTCGATCCAACCAAATCGAGCCGAGATAATTTTTTTTGTCTAAAGCGTATTTTGGCTGTTCTATTTAATATTTTGTAATAAACTTGGGCTCGTTGTAAAGTAGTTGTAAAGACTTCCTTTATACGATGTTTTTTTTAATCGATTCGACTACGAAATGACCAAATAAACGTTCGTTAAAGACAACGGTAGTCAGGAGAGGGGAGCGCTGTGACGTCATAGTGCCCATGCTGCTCTAGGCTTCTCAAAATTTTTACTTAACAAATAGAATGTGGCACTTAGAAAGCAGTTACCGGGATGCTTTTTTTTAAATCAACTTATTTTTTCCGCTCTTTCGAATGATGTAAGCAAAACTCTGTGAAAGTCATTGCCAGACCTCGAAAAATACATTTCTATGTGTTTTCTTTTGTAATTTCATTATGCTTTCGATATTTTGAAAAGTAAGAAGGTTTTTTTACGTATTTAAAAACAAAAGTCAATTATTTCTTTGGACAAAATGTCAATCAGTATTCTATTTACCTTGCTCAGAAGAGATCGACGTATAACTTTTTAAATAATAATAATAATAATAATATCTCTACTCCTCATTCTAACTACGAGAATTAGCCCAGAAGTCGGAGACTTGTGCGGGAGAGGAGGCGGCATATTATTATTACCCAGGCCGCCAATATTTCTAATATTACCAGAATATCGCGATATTTAAGGTCATGACAAAGACGATATTTTTTTTGGCACTCAAAGTACTTACTTAACTTAACGTCGAAAATCGATCTAGTAAAAATGTTGGGGAATTCTTCATAACAATGTGCACTATGGGGTTGTCTATTATTTGGCATATGTGACGTCACTACTAAAAAGGTCCATTAATAAACACATACCTGATATATGTATTATTGAGTAGAATTTTTAGTTTTTATTTTGTATTACTAGGTATTTACTAGGTATTGTTGGTATAATTCAATGCTAGCTGGGGTACGTAGCCCATAGAGTAGATTCAACATTTTTTTATAAAAAAAATTATTTATGCATATATTTATGTAAGCATATTCAAATTTTTGTAAGTAAATCTGATGTGGCAGTATTTTTTGCTTCCGCCAGTTCTAAAGAAGTTGCAGGAATGGAAAATTCATTGTCGCCCATTATAATTTTTTACTAGATGCAAAATGTATAAAAAAAACAACTGTAGTTATTTATCTAATAAATATGTCAAATTATTCTTAGATGGACAAATATGAATCTTTTTTACTACTCGATAAACAATGTAGGTACTATCTCTTCATACATAAAAAGGCGCATTTTTTCTAATAAAGAAAAAAAATATATGAAACTGCAAGTTCAAAGTAGATATTCATTTTTTTCGGAATATTTACAGAATCTACATTACATTATGCATAATTTATAGATACAAATATATCTAAATTTTATTTTGTTCTCTTCGAAGTACGTATTTGTGTATTTGCCAATATCCTATTTTGATTTGGTTAGATTGCACTTGACATCTCGCGTAGACTACATCCCGTGAATTTCAAGTACCTTGTGTACAACACCACACAGGTGTGTGCCAACATTACGCGCGTCTGCAAGAAAGGCTGTACGATATTGAATTTCTAATTGGCTTCAGAGTTATTACAGGATCGTGCTTATGCGTGTTTTTTTCAGTATATATCATAAATTTCCGACGCGGCAAAGATTATTCTGGATATTCCTACATGAAATGACTTCAGATGAGGTTTGTCCGAGATGGCTGAAAGCAGTAAGTCTATAGGAATGAAACAGCATGAATCATCCAACAGGAGGAATTTGGAAGATTGATTTTTTTCCAAGGAACACTTTTGCCACAGCAGTTTCACATTCCGTTGTTGGTACTTTCATTCAACCATTTACGGTGTCTTTTGATGGAATACGAATTTTTTATTTGTGCAGGAAAGCGTGTTAAAATAGATAATTATTTATTAATAGATTTAAATCAGGACTACTAGGTGGCTAAGGATTGTTAATGACGCTTTATCATTGCAAGCACTTTTTTCTTTAGATACAAAGTTCAACTACCCCCCTACGTGACCTGCACCCAGTGCGTGATCCAGTGGAGCTACTACACGGGAAACCAATGGGGCATGTGCCCGAACGGCACCCAGGCGCAAGGCTGTGGTAAGTCGGAAACCTTCAGGAACTGCGCCGACGTAGCCATCCACACCAGCACGGGAGGAGCTGTTCCACCGCTTTTCGTCGACCAGTACAACCCCTACTTGCTGTACTACAAAGATTCCTCCAGACCTGCGCCTTACAACGTGATCCCTCTGGTCATCAGGGAGCAAGTTTGCGTCCCTAACAGTTTGTACAAGATGATCCCCGGTGTGAAGGAGTGGTGTCAGACGAACTGTTTGAGATACCCTCCGAACTGCCCCCACGATGTCTGCGAGTGTCCGTAAGTATTGCTCGTAAAAAATTCATTTTGTTTGTAAGAATAATGAACATGTCTGTTTGTTTCATTTTAACAATTTTTGGAACCTTCTGCAATGCTGCGCTTATGGAATTGCGTTCCACACAAGCTTAAGTACGTTACAAGAGTCTACGTGTTGAGAATAAGCTACAATTTACAATTTTGAATATAAGAATTATGAATCTTTTATCCAAAATTCATTTTTGGAGATGTTTATGATCACATTTTGGATAATGGAAAAATACAATTACTCTTAAGCTCACTTTTGGAGCCGATACCAATAGGAATCTGTTGCAGATGACTTTCACCTATAAAAGATTATTTCTTTATGACAATTGCTCTTATAGAATTGCTCCATTTCTGCTTTATTTGGAGGCTGACCTGGCTTCTGGCAGTGGTGCATTCTAAAAACTTTTCTTTGTCTCAAAAAAAATCCTGTGCTGTTAAAATAGTCTGATAATAGCTTAATAAGCAACAGTTGATGAGGAATATGTTATGGCATAATTTAGATGTTTAAATTTTAGAACCACCTGCGAAGCTATTGGCGAATACAGTGGTAAAACTGGAGCGGATGTATACTGTATGGACCAGTGTCTTGTATACCCTACAGAAAAGTGTCCTAAGGATCAGTGTTCCTGTTATGAAGAATAAGGACAGTCTGCAGAAAGAAAATGCCTGTTATTATGTCTAAATCTAGGAATATGTTAGTATGGTGCTGTGATAATTCTGGATTATAGGTGTAATGTGTTGTAAATTATTAAATGAATGGGAAAACTTAGGCATAATAAAGTGCAACTGGCATTATTTCTTGTAATTTAGGTATAGGTCTCACGATTACTATTTTTGTATTTATAAATGTAAGTTTGGGAACATATCTGTAATGGTATGTATATCTTGAAATAGATTTTCAAACCTTGTGTCTAAGAAAGTTGAGTAGTTAGTAAACAACACTATAAAGTTTTGTTGTAATACTACTAGAATGATGTTTTGATTAGATTATGAAATACTGAAAGAATCTCAAAGGAATAAGAAATAAATTTTAAAAAATATATCTATATGAATAATATCGTCCAGGAATAATAAAATTAATGTTAATATTTACTGTTGTTTCATTTGCAACTGAGTCAAATCATGTCAAGTGAAGTGGACCTCCCCATTTATCTTTTGATCGTGGAATTTGACTTCATATATTTCAATAAAAAGTAGTCATTACAAACAATAAAAACGGTTTTCCAAAATTTTAATTTTTTTTGCAATAAACATTTTCAGCACTTTAAATTACAAAATTAATCGTGGAAAAACCATTAGAGATGATATCTTAATGAAATTTTCAGGACTTATTGTGTAATATTTATATTTTAATAAAAAATAAAGTTATCTTATTTACTGTTATTTTTAATTAATTTTTAGATAAACAAATGAAAATTTTAATGACTTCTTAGTCATTTGTTTTCTCTTTCTCAGTCTTTTTTTTTCTGAATATCGAGCAGCAAATTATCTACATGTTCTTGAAATTACTTTGTCACATTTTCCATAAATAGCAAACAAATTAAAATAATCCTCATTAGCATTAATTTAAACGATCTACAGGCATTTTTATCTAAATTTTCGGCAAAAACTATTACAGACACAACAATAATTTGACTACCTTGACAAATGCCAAGTTATTTTAATTGTTTTTGGAGTGTTTCTGGGCATGGCTAATTTGATAACAAGTCTGATACAAGAAAAACTGTCCAAAAAAATAGAAAATTGCAAATATCTCTAAAAATAGTAACAGTAATCCTAACAATGGCTTGAATGGAAATTTCAATTTGCATACGACAGAGTAAAAAATGGGGTGTTCCATTTAAGTTAACAACTGTTTGAATTTATCAAATTGTAACAGAAAAAATGAAATAGCTAGTATTAAATGTTTTAATTTGTTGGTATACCATAATTTACTGTTACCTATGCCGTTTACAGGTACCAAAAATCCACTTGATATCACACCCCTGAAAAGAGTTACTAGCATCTCCGGGGACCCTTGCATCTATCAAATTTTTTCTTTAAAAATTAGTATTTCAAAATTCTAGGTGTAGTGAATATTTAATAAAGTGTCCCTCAAATTTCTTGTAGAATCCGAAAGTGCGCTAATATATAGGGTGTCCCATTTAAAATAAGAAGGTTAATGTCAACTTCCGTAATAACCTTAAGTGCCATAAAGTTCTTCATATAGTAGCTGTGTTGACTCTACTGCCTTTGATAGATTGCCAAACTTTCAGATTTATTGGATCACTACTTTCCGAGATATCAATAGTGGCGACTAACTACTATATTGCTGAGTGAAAAATTTGACTCGACTACATATTCCTGATTATAATTGACAAGTAATAAAGTTATTTTCATAATATTAGACTTTTTCATGGTTATAATCAGCAAGTTGATAATGAATTTAGTTAAACTACGCTAATTTTGTTCTTATTTTAATTTTAAATTTTATTCTGCATGCATAACGCCACTAAGCGAAAAATTAGGAAATTAACTAAATGTCCCTTGGCGTAGGTACTGGTGAGGTAGTATGCAGCAGCCATTGGTTATACAGGATGTCCCGAAATTCATGCAACAAAATTTGGTCACAGATTCTTAGGACAAATTTAGGGGACCCGTATTTTTTATTTTTGCCAAGTGGCCCTCTCTTTCGGAGTTACAGCCCCCTGAAGTCCATCCCTAAGAATAATCTTATTTCAGAACCCTGTTGTACGAGAATCACTAAATTTGGTACACAGGGGTTTTATGACATGTGGAATCTGATGGTGCTACGTTTTTTGAAGGGGAACCCAAAAAAATTTGGTCGCATAATTAAATTTCTTAAAATTTATCAGTCCACTAGAAAGCCATTAAATTTAGAAACTTTTTGTCTCTTTATACTTTTTTCGTAAAAAGCAATGTTTTCGAGAAAAAATTTCCTCAAAAATATTGCGTTTTACGAAACAAATATCAAGGGACAAAAAAGTTTCTAAATTCAATGGCTTTCTAGCCTAATAATTAAAAAAAAAATTGCGACCAAATTTTTCTGGTTCCAAAGACAAGAGGGCCCACGAAAAAGTGTCTTAAGGGGGTTTCTCGCAAAAAAGCGTAGCACTGTGAGATTCCACATGTCATAAAACCCCTGTGTATCAAATTTAGTGATTCTCGTACAACATGGTTTTGAGATATAAAAAAGACTTCTTAGGGGGCTGTAACTCAGGAAGTGGGGGCCAGTTGGCAAAAAAAACGGGTCCTCTAAATTTATCTTAAGAATCTATGACCAAATTTTGTTGCATGAATTTCGGGACATCCTGTATAAACATTTATAAATAATATGCTCAGGGGCGGGAATCGACAGCAGCTATTGTAAAGAATAACTCATACCACCAAAAACCTCAGTCAATAGATGGCGTTGCTGAAAGCCGACTGCAACCAACAGATGGCGACTTAACCATCACGAACTTATAATCACTTATTTTGAACTATCTGCATTGAGTAGAAGGCGATGATTTTTTTTCCACAATTAAATTATTGCAAGGATTATTTACAAAAATTTTATTGATCAGTTCTCTTTACAATATTTCGCACTAGCAGTTACTTCTATGTATATTAAAATTTACAAATTTAAAGCTATATTTATAAGTACCTACACGGAGTAAAATCTATGAAAATATATTGTTAATAGGATGAGGAAGCAATAAACATGTATTCGTTCGAATCGAAGACATCTCTTCAAACAATTATTATAATTAAAACAATAAACGTCCATATTTACTATAACATGTTCAGTGTTAGGTAGTTGCAATCATCGTTTCATCTCAAAAATATGTATATCTCTAAATTAGGGAAATATTTACTATAAAAAATATAGTTTATTAGAGGAAGAAATGTACAAAAATAGCGGAAATTATCAACTACATTGACTTATTAACAAATAAATTAGTAGTAGGGTTTCTACTTTCTAAAATTTGGGACGGTTATGTACAAAATATAGTTCCATTTCATCGTTCTTCGTTAGATTCGAGAATCGTCGAGTTTTGTCTTTTTATATCATATAAAATACCTTCTGGTACAAGAAAACTTATACACGCTTATTTCAAAATTTTATACAGGGTGTCCCAATGTTAAAATATAAAGATTTATTAGAATATACCTGATCAAGTAACTTTTTAAGTTTTCTTTCTTTTAGATAAAGAATGACCTGCAGAATTTTGTCCTGGGACATTGCAACACTCTGTATAGAAGAATATGGAGGTGTGGGCGAAATTCGACACATTTTGGATTTCTCTTATTTCGCGAAAGAATACAAAAAAGTAGTTCAAATGTCACGAAAATTGCATCTTGAAATCTTAATTTGTTTATGAAATACAGGGCATTTTCGGGAATTCTTTCGGGAAATTGTCGAATTTGGTCCACCCTGTATAGGGTCAACTTTTAAATATATTGCTCTTCAGTTCTGACTTATCTGGTCGTCAAATATCACAAGTGGGCATGTCTACAAAAACTAAAAATTACTTTACTATCCACCTTTATAGCCTTTTTTACACAGTCAAAAAAATTGATTGATTTTTTGGTCTTCAATTAATTGTTACGTGTAAATCACAAAATTGCCAATTTATTGATGACAATAATTTCAAGAAGAAATTGTGATAGGACCAGCTCTAATAGTTCAACAATTTTTTAGTGAATTCTAGTTACATTTTGAAGTTTAAAGATATAATGCCAACTGAGTTTGTGATAAAAATCGTTAAACCTTGTTAATATGTCCAATAAATTCATGAATTTATTTGACTATGTAAGACGACCATTACAAAGAATTTAATCAGTTAAGTCGAGAACTAAAAACGAACCAGCTATCTACATATTTCGGTACGATATAAAATAAAAAATAACTCGAACTCGCCTAGAACGCGTACAAATTATTAAGGATTTAAGGCTCATCACTACATCCTTGCAGTCCTTGGTTATCCGGAACACAATTTTTTATACAGCTTAACATTTATTTCCCACTAAAGTGACTTCCGATGTGAGATGGAGGTCCCCTGTGTTTGTTGTAGCTCCTGCTTCCTGGTCTGGAATGGACGATGGCGTAGTGGTCGCTGTGGGAAGATACGGATCTTGTAGAATTCATCGTGGAACCACCCGATGTGTAACCTTTGGGATGCTGGGGCGCGCCGTTTAGTGAATATCTGCAAACAAATTTTTAAAATCAGAATAAAACCCGAACTGAGGTGAAAAAGGTTAATCACAAAGAGAACGATATGGAAAGTTGGTAGCTTAAAAAGTGTTCCTATCAAGTTCATTTTCCTTCAACATGATATACAGAGTGTTTCATGACTAATTTTATTCAGGGTGTGTAGAAGAAAGTGCGAAAAAATTAAGAAAGTGATTCCTGCCTTTCATGTAAAAAAAAATCTCTATTATCTCACTGCGTGAAAGTTCTTCAAACGGAAGAGAAAAATATATGTATTTTATATTTATTGGATAATCTCTTTACCTTTTCATTTGGCTGAAAGGGATTTTTAGACATTGTTCTTATAATTATCAACGAACAACACCTTCTTTATTTTTCGCAATTATCTGTTTACACTCTGTATGTTACATGGCAGAATGGGGCTAGATAAAATAAAATAAAAAGTTCTGGGTCAAAATTTTCAATGAAATTTATTTTGGTTGTATAGTTTTTAAACCATTTGCGAGAATTAATTTATTTTTAGCACACCATTAGACGCATGAAATCAGAATTTTAAAATTCCAGAATAGTCCAATTAAATGGGCTTTTAAAACGCAATTTTGGTCAAGTTGCATAAATTTTGCAAGTTGACCAAAATTGCAAATTAAAGGCCCATTTAATTGGACAAGGAATTACTATTTTTATGACACTTGAGAAAAATTCGTCTGGTATATCTTTTTATTATTTCGTATAGCATATTGAAAGTAACGAGCGTTCAAATAAAAACGTGGTCGAAGTTGGCTCTGACACATTGGACGTAGGGAGTAGCTTATAGCGACCAACTTAACCTCATTTCTCAACGAGCTGTATAGCAGCTGTCAGTTTCAATAACGTTAATGACTATATAACTTTATTTTAAAGAATAATCGTGATAACAATAACAAACAATTAAAGGAGCTGCGGAAAGTGTCCCCCTCCTTGTTATAACAATAAATTAAAGCAGCTGCTGAAAGTGTCCCCCTCCTTGTTCCAAGCACTTTTCACACCTGTTCCTCAAAGAATTAAAGACATTTTCTAAGATGCTCGGGGTATTGTTAATTTCACGAATCTTGTCTATAAGTCGAGCCTGCAGATGGTTTAAATCAGGAATAGACAGTTCAAAAATAGTGTTTTTAAAGTAAGGCCACAAAAAGAAATCACGCGGCGTAATATCACATGACCTCGGTGGAAATTCATGTTCAGCATTGAGACTTATTAGTCGATTTTGGAAAACTTCCTTCAACATATTCATCGTCTCGCCTGCCGTATGTGCCCTTGCGCCATCTTGTTGAAAGTAAAAGTTTGTAATTTCGTTTTCTTCCAGCTGGTTAACAAAAGGAGCGATAATTTCTTCTCTATACCTTTGCGCAGTAAGAGTACCATTAAAAAAAATTGGTCTATAAATCCTCCTTCGATTGAGAGCACACCAAACTCCAATTTTTTGAGGGTGTAGAGGGCCCTCGACAAAAAAGTTATCTGGTTTTTCAAAAGACCACATTCTCATATTCTGTGAGTTTACGTAACCACTTAAATGAAACCAGGCTTCATCAGAAAAAAAGGTGATATTATGATGACCGTGATCACCGTAGTTGTTTAAAAACCATTCACAAAATACAGCCCGTCGCGGAAAATCAACTTCATGAAGTTCTTGCTGACAAGATAAACGATAGGAGAACAAACGCAAATCTTTTTTTAACACTGTGTGGCAGATACCGACTGATACTCCCACCATTTGTGATAAAACACGTACAGAAGTTCTTGGCGCATTTTCCATTATTTGTTGGACATTTTCTTTTAATTCTTCAGTCCGCTTTTTAGGTCGGCCGCTTCCTTGTTTTCTTGTTACACTGCCCGTTTCACGAAAAACATTAACACAACGCTGAACTGCACTTTGAAAAATTTTGTACTCAACAACGCCGGGAAATTGATTTTGAAATTCTATGAAACATTCCATATTCCATCAATCTTGCGTCCATTTCTAAAGTAGGACTCTATGATAAACACTTTTTGTTCTTGAGAAAACACCATTTTAAACGCTTTTTAAAACGAAAATATTCAAATTGATAGCGGCGATATAGCGCTTTGACAGATGACGTTTAAGTTCATTTGCTATACGCTACGCCCTACGTCCAAATTTTCAGAACCAACTTGACCACGTTTTTATTTGAACGCTCGTTATATTAATTAGTGGGATAATACGATTTTTTTCCAACAATCAGAAGTAGAGTTAATATTTTTGTTTTAATAAATTTCTTGTTAAAATTTGCAAAATCTGTAAAATTACAGTAGAAAGTTAAAGAGTGACAAAGAGCAAAACTACAATGGCAAATAATTTCCGGAAAAATATATTGTTTTTGTATCAGTTTCCAGCTTGTTATTTTAAAATCACCAAATTATTTTGATGTCAAACATACGAACCGCCGAACAATAAAAAATTTTCGAGTGTTTTAAAAAATTTATAAAATTTGCACGATTTATTAAATATTAACTAATATTGGTATGTGGATAGGCATACGTAACTAATTGTAAATAGTACTATTAGTTTAGAAAAATATTTATAATCTGGTAAATTTAAAATACGATTTTAACTAATTAAAAAATAATTTAATATAAAGCATTTGTTACTATTTTTTTTAAGCAGCGTGTCTCAGTGTCTACGATTTCTGACGTTGAGGGTGAGGTGAACTACATAATATAATGCATTAACTAATCCGCCTGATGAGATATGACAACAAGGCGCTAATTGTCACTGCTTCAAATACTCTGTACATCTACAAATTTTTACTCAGAACTTCTTTTAGAGGTCATTGTGTATTTGTTTAGATTATCCCACTCAGCCATTACAGCATATACAGACAGGATCATTTATCGCTCCTTATTTTTCTACTTTTCTTTCTAGATAAAAAAGGTAAAGACCGAAGTTTTAGTAAATTTTCTAGTAATATGATCGAAGTACACAAAAACAATTGAATGTTGCATTTCTGATATATAAACAAAACTTATGGTTTTTTAATGGAACACATATAGGTATATATTTTAATTGTATTTGGAGTGTTTCTGGTCATGGTCAATTTGACAACAGGACTGATACCAGAAAAAAAATAGACAATTGCAAATGTCTCTAAAAGTAGTAACGGCAACCCTAACAATGCTTGTATGGCTTGAAAGGAAATTTCAATCTGCCTACGTCAGAGTAAAAACATACATTTAAGTTAACAAAGTTATAGCAGTTTAAAGTAATCAAAATGTAAGAGCAAAAATTAAACCCTTAGTATTAAATGTTTTAATTTGTCGGTACACTATAATTTAGTGTTACCTATGCCCTTTGCAGGTACCAAAAATCAACTTGATATCACGCTTCTGAAAAGAGTTATTAGCATCTCCACGGACCATTGCAAAATTTTTTTCTTTAAAAATTATTATCTCAAAATCTATAACCCTAGGTATAGGGAATATTTAATAAAGTGACCCTCAAATTAATAGAGATATCGATAGTGGAGGTTCCTGGTAGGATACCCTGTATATTGTTGTAATCAGAAAAAATAGAGCATTTCAAAAAACAACAAATATACAGGATGTTTCATTTAAAAATCAAAAGTTTGGTTTATCTCTCAGAAAAGCAATATTCAATTGTTTTTTATGATACTTCTTTAATATTACAAGAAAACATTGCAGGACTTTGTTCTATCAAATTTTTTTTCTAATCCGAAAGGTAAAAAAATAATGGGGATATAATGATGATATACCGTGCCTTATGAAACACAATGACAGAATTTTGGTAATTTTTAAAGAAATTTTTTAGAAGCCTGAAGAATTACCTCATTCAAACCTTAATTAACGCTTTCAAGGTTATTGCAATTGAAAAGCCATCACCTGCAGTTTCGAAGACATTACACATTGACTAGTCAAACTAAACTTGAAGAAAATGCACAAAAAAACATAAAATGCATTTTCTACAGTATACAAAATTACATGGCACCAATTATATGACCATATTACTGTTGTACATTCACTGTATACCCTGTATATCAAACAGTGTACTGTGATAATGTTAGATTGACTAGCACATGTCTGTGTTTTTGGCGAAATATGTGGCTGAATTCTGCATTGATTAACTTCTTACGTACATAAATTACGTCTGAAGTATTAGCAATTAGTGTTGACCTGAATATTTCACCAAAAGAAGTAACACAATTAGTAGATACTTAACTTAAGTGTTCTTTATGTGTAGGTTTTAGTCAAGGAAAGTTAAGATGACAGAAAAATGTGGGGGTGGATGAACTATTTACCTTTTCGTTAAAATTGTTGACATTGTAGGTGGTTCAGGTAAATATTTTTATTTTATTCAGTCAGTCTGTTCAAAAAAAATAAAAAAATCCACATTAAGAATGTCATCGTAATTAATTCAATGAACATATATGATTAATGATGATAATAGTTATATAATTTTGTTGTTTAAACAACACTTCGTAATAACTTGTGTATTATTTAAAGGAACACAAATCATTATAGTTATTCATAATAACAGTTTTGGGTAGTTTTTTTTTCACGTAAATTGCTCAGTAGTTATTTGGAATAATAAATAATTTGACCATGACAACTATACATTTCAGGTTTATTAATACATGTACGTAAATGAAAAATATAACGCACCTTTTATTTGTACATTATTAAGTACTGTAGCCGATTTTTACCCCTACAAATTATGAATTGGTACGGTCCAAATTATGTCGATTAAGCAAATTTTGTTGTTTACAGTTCATACTGTTGTCAGAATAAACACTGGTTCAATTAACTAGCGATTCTATTCTACCCCTACCGAATGTTGTTATTTACTTTATAAACAACATAATATACATATCAGAAGTATCTAATTAATTATGAATCTCAAGTCTTCCAACAGTTTAGCTTGTATTTTTTAATATATGAATATGTATGTTGTATGTTTAAATAATGTGAAGAAATGAAATATGAGTATTTTTTAACTTCTTATTACGAGTAATAATTTCGTAAATTGAAATCTATATGCTCTTTTCTATCAGTGAAAATAAAATTTGAGATCCAACAAAATCTATAGTACGATCATATTCGATGCAAAGTAATAAATCATTGCCTGTCAAGGGAACCAATGAAGTACGCCTTTAAGGGTTTTACAAATTCAATAATTTCTTTATACATTATGAAGGGACGAGGGGATCAGTTCAGGTCTGGCACCCTTGTTGCTACAAAAATTCCTTTATTCTTATAAACTATTTATTTTAAATGTAATTTATTATAAATCCAATTTGTTTCCTAAATTCCACATATGTACTACATTTTACCTCTGTACGCGCCACTGTTGTTTACTTGTTTTTTGGAAGCGCTCTCCAATTGACGGCAAAGCTCGCCAGGTTAGTATTTGACGTATAACCGACCAGTTCGTACACTCGATGCACCTGGGCTACTACAGCTACTACCGAAACACAGTGCGTATGCCGCGGTATTTCAAATTTTACATTGAATTTCATTTTAAATTTGAAAAGATTTATCTTACGCCTCCTAAATATGATGACACGATTTTCCTTTGATAAAAGGCCAACAATTTTTTGCTCTACTTTGCATCGTATACGATCCTACTATAATTCGAGCAAACTTTTTTGGTTAATTATGGAATGCCAGAAAAACTACGTTCTTCATTGAGTTATGGCGACTATGGCGTATATGTGTTGTATGAGAAGCTCTAAACGCTCTACGAATTTCAAGCATCTTTCGATTTCACAACGAAGGCGCTCGCGAAGCCAGAAATCTGTTTTAAAAAACATATATTCTATATTCTAGCTCTCGTACTTTTTACTTAATTTTAAAGGTATCAGAGTCAACCAGCGTCTACTCCGTAGTATACAGGGTGTCCGGAAATTAACGAGCCACTCCTCAAGGGCAGTTTCTTTGAATAAAAATAATAATAATTTCGATAAACTTACTTTGGTACAGATTTTCCCTTTAAAAAGTTGTGTTAGTATTAATTAAAATAGAACAAAATTTTTTTTTGAGAAGCGATAGCTTTTTAAGAAAGCAAAATTATGCTAAGGTAGCTACATCTATATTGGTACATTTTCTTTATTTTCATTGGGACAGTGTTTATCATCATTTCAAGAGTACCTACAATAATAAAATAAAATTTACTTTATAACTGTATAAAAAAATACTGTAAAAAATCTAACCTCAAATAAGTTGTCATAAAATTTCACTAGGTAAGGTTGTAGACAGCGAATTCTAGCAATTGGTAAAAAACCAACAACAGTAAAGCATTTAACACCCTCAAATATTTATTTGTAGTAAATTTCGTTGCATTAAATTGTTTTTTAGAAAAGATATGGTTAAATTTTGATCTCAAATGTGTGGTATCTTTTTCTAAAACACTCCATATACATAAATGTAAGGTATTTCATAGAATATTAATGAACCTCATGTATTATTGTTCAACTTATAACGAGCGTTCAAATAAAAACGTGGTCGAAGTTGGCTCTGACACATTGGACGTAGGGAGTAGCTTATAGCGACCAACTTAACCTCATTTCTCAACGAGCTGTATAGCAGCTGTCAGTTTCAATAACGTTAATGACTATATAACTTTATTTTAAAGAATAATCGTGATAACAATAACAAACAATTAAAGGAGCTGCGGAAAGTGTCCCCCTCCTTGTTATAACAATAAATTAAAGCAGCTGCTGAAAGTGTCCCCCTCCTTGTTCCAAGCACTTTTCACACCTGTTCCTCAAAGAATTAAAGACATTTTCTAAGATGCTCGGGGTATTGTTAATTTCACGAATCTTGTCTATAAGTCGAGCCTGCAGATGGTTTAAATCAGGAATAGGCAGTTCAAAAATAGTGTTTTTAAGGTAAGGCCACAAAAAGAAATCACACGGCGTAATATCACATGACCTCGGTGGAAATTCATGTTCAGCATTGAGACTTATTAGTCGATTTTGGAAAACTTCCCTCAACATATTCATCGTCTCGCCTGCCGTATGTGCCCTTGCGCCATCTTGTTGAAAGTAAAAGTTTGTAATTTCGTTTTCTTCCAGCTGGTTAACAAAAGGAGCGATAATTTCTTCTCTATACCTTTGCGCAGTAAGAGTACCATTAAAAAAAATAGGTCCATAAATCCTCCTTCGATTGAGAGCACACCAAACTCCAATTTTTTGAGCGTGTAGAGGGCCCTCGACAAAAAAGTTATCTGGTTTTTCAGAAGACCACATTCTCATATTCTGTGAGTTTACGTAACCACTTAAATGAAACCAGGCTTCATCAGAAAAAAAGGTGATATTATGAAGTTCACCGTAGTTGTTTAAAAACCATTCACAAAATACAGCCCGTCGCGGAAAATCAACTTCATGAAGTTCTTGCTGACAAGTTAAACGATAGGAGAACAAACGCAAATCTTTTTTTAACACTGTGTGGCAGGTACCGACTGATACTCCCACCATTTGTGATAAAACACGTACAGAAGTTCTTGGCGCATTTTCCATTATTTGTTGGACATTTTCTTTTAATTCTTCAGTCCGCTTTTTAGGTCGGCCGCTTCCTTCTTTTCTTGTTACACTGCCCGTTTCACGAAAAACATTAACACAACGCTGAACTGCACTTTGAAAAATTTTGTACTCAACAACGCCGGGAAATTGATTTTGAAATTCTATGAAACATTCCTCAATAGAATACTTCCATATTCCATCAATCTTGCGTCCATTTCTAAAGTAGGACTCTATGATAAACACTTTTTGTTCTTGAGAAAACACCATTTTAAACGCTTTTTAAAACGAAAATATTCAAATTGATAGCGGCGATATAGCGCTTTGACAGATGACGTTTAAGTTCATTTGCTATACGCTACGCCCTACGTCCAAATTTTCAGAACCAACTTGACCACGTTTTTATTTGAACGCTCGTTAGATTTGTTACTAAAATTTATTATTTTGATATCACTGATATAATAAAAACCGAAATAAAAGGGGTTCACTCTTCTTTGATGCTTTAAAAATATGTATCTTACGTACATTAAAATAGCAAAAATATACATGGTGTTCCATAAGAAAAAAAATCGAATTTGGCATCTAAGTCTCTGCAATGCGATGCTCAATATACCTACTCTTTTAGTGTAATGTCACATATTTAGGCAACCCGCAACAAATTGTCATAGTTGAAATTGTACAGACTGAATCTGACCCTTGTGTACTATTTACATAGATACTATAAAAATGAATAACTTCAAATTAATTTATTTTTACAAGGATTTGGAAGTATTTAAGAACATTTATTTAAGAAGTATTTATGTTTCGCAAAATATATACACTAATGTGCTTAGAATATACAAAAACTATATAAAACAATATTCCTATATTTAAATATTGTAATAGCCTCATACGCAAGTGAGATCTGTCGCTGATCACTGTCATCATTAGTGTATTTTGTCTTGCTTTGATTAATCTTGGCATTTTCTAGTTCTACTAAGTATTTTTATTGTTTTTCTTGATGCTTTAGTGTGTTTATCGAGTGTTTTTTTTTTCAAATGGTTTATTATACACGTACTTTTAATCACAACCAGACCTTTGTTTAATGATAAGGCTACTTCGCTTACATAAAATTATTTTTAATGCGCATGCTCAGGAACATTGATATAATTTTAATTTATTAATTACCTACCATAAAAGTCAATATTGTTCTAGAAATAAAAATATATAGATTCTATAATTCTATTAGTTTGTCACTTGGGGTTTGAAACTTCTTAAATATTTCTAATATTGCTAGAATATCGCGATATTCAAGGTCATGACAAAGAAAATCAATCTAGTAAAAAAAATGGGAAATTCTTTATGACAATGTATGTATACTATGGAGTTGCCTATAATTTGGCGTATGTGACGTCACTATTAAAAAGGTTTATTGTTAAAAAAAATCTTAAGGAAAAATGTTTTTTAATAAATAATGTTTTATTTCTTCGATATCTTGAAAAGCGGTTATTAATAATGTTTTCTACTGTTTACTAGAAAATAAATAGAAAAAAAAATCACTACATTTTTAAAAATATGTTTGAAATGAAATTACTTATTGCTTTTTTACATTGACAATTTATTGATCAATTAATTCATGAAGTCGCTTCATCAAGAAATTGGACAAGCGTAATGCACCAAATCAGCTGTCAAATAACCATCAATTTATTCATCAAGTTTTTGACAAATTATGAGTGGAAATGTGACTTTTTTGAAAATTATTTGCTTCTTTGATTCACCGGTAGAACTGATTCATACGTCAAAAAACTTGACAAAGTCTGTAGCAGTGTAAAACCACACTGTTTACCAATAAATTCGTGAATTAATTCATGAAGAACTTCGTCAATTTATTCATCAATAAATTGTCAATATAAAACAGCTATTACTTGATTGATATTGTAGTCAATAAATTTTGAAAAATAAACGGGTACCTATGTTGAAGCAATTTTCAAATTAAACTAATGGGTAACATCTACAGGGAGACCAATTAATTAATGAATCACCCTGTATATAAAAAAGACTTTGTTGTTCTAGAACAAACAAAGTCTTCTTCGTTTTAGTTAACCAAAATGTCTCTTTGACTCTTAGAAAACATAATTAAAGTTGCGATTTCATGACAGTTCAAAGAAAAATTTTTCAGTGCCATCTTAAAGATCCCTACTTTCTAACCGTATACCCTGCGACGAATTCGATGTAAACTGTGAGTATGTGTGACAGTAGACAAGTTTAAATAAATTCATCCATCCAATGCATTACCTGGATCCGTACTGACTACCGTGCCAGCTCCTATAAGGATCGTAGTCCTCGATGATGCTGGGCTCCTTCTCAATGATCTCGGTCCTCGCGCAAGCGCAAGTCATCGCCGAGCACAGGAAAATGTTGATGATCAGCATGAGGAGGAACAGAACACCCAGGGCGATGGCAAGCCACAGCAACCAGGAGGGGTGCACTCCACCGATGTCGTCGCAGAGCTCCTGAGCTCGAGGCGGTTCGCCTGGGTACACCACGAAGACGCTGGTGGCGGCCATGAGGATGCCGTCGTCGGTGTTGAGGGGACGGGTGTCCCCTGAGCACGAGGGGGCGGGACAGCTGCCCTTGCACAGACCTACGTCGCACTGAAAGGGAGGCGTATATTTTAATTAATTGTTGCAGTATTTGTTTAGTTTTCGTTTTACCCGAGTCATTTGCAATATCGAAAAAAGTACCGCTAAGAAATATTCAGCAGACAATCGTGGACACACGTATATTTATATTTTTTCTATAATACTATCTTATAAGCCTGTATCAGACAATGCAATTTTGTTGCAGGGATTTGGTTAGAACATGCTCTATTCCGTGCAACAAAATTGCAGAGATTCTAGTTACTTTTATGAAGATTTGTTTATTACCAACCTAGCTGTTGTTGGCTGTTGATCATGGTTGTTGTTAGTAACACCGTTAAAGCCACTATTAAAGCTATACAGCAATTTGGGCACCGTCCTGTCCCCACACCTATACACCATTTACAACTCCGACATCCCACATCCCCCCAACACCAACATATACTTATACGCCGACGACCTGACAATCACATCCCAATCCGTAGATCCTAGATATTCCGTCTACCTCCTCCAAAGCTCCTTAGACCAACTTGAAACCTGGTGCAACAGGTGGAAAGTCAAAATTAATCCCAACAAAAGTTCGGCTATCCTTTTTACCAAACGAAAAATCCCACAAAACCTCGACAGACTGACACTATCCCAGGAACCCATCTCCTGGAATCGACAAACACGATACCTGGGCGTGACGATGGACCAGCGTCTCACGTGGAAACCGCACATCGTGGAGACGGTGGCGCGAGCGAAGACCACCAGGGCTAGGCTCTATCCCTTACTCAAAGGTGGAAACACCCTCAGTTTAAGGAATAAGCGAACGCTTATCAAGGTGGTACTTCAACCGCAGCTAACCTACGCCTCCACGGCGTGGGGTCACGCGGCAAAAAGCCACTTAAAGTCATTACAGGCTGTGGAAAACATAGCCCTCCGCACGGCCACCTACGCGCCCTGGTACGTAAGAAACACTGACATATTACGAGACTTACAATACACAAACGCTACACAGACAATAAGACAAAACGCGGAGAAACGGTTTGACGTAGCCGCTAGACATGACAATCCCCTCCTCAGGCAAGCCGTTGACTACGTACCCGACGTGACCGACAAACACAAAAGACCTAGACACCAACTTTTTGACCCTGGGTGACCACCCCAACGACTCCCTCCCCCCCCGCCCGCTAACCTTTTCTGTTTCAGAGACAGCCAGGATCAAGAAACGAAGACAACGACACACACACACACATACACACCCTCATACCCTCCTTTCCCCTCCCCTCCCGCGCTGGGCTAAGGGCCACCTTAGCAAAGCGCGTCCCAGGCTGCATAGCCGCACTACCCTACCCAACCATACCACACATAAACATGACACTACCCCCGGGGTTTACACAGACGAGCCGGCGAAGCAAGAAGAGCGCCAGAAGAAAGGGCCCTAGCCGGCGGGGCCCAGCCAGGACAAAAGGAGGTCCCACAAAGCGCCTACACCGGCCGCATTTGCGGTCGGGGTAGACGACGGATGGGGCCTACCTACGAAGGCTGTCCAGGCCTACACGAGATGAGGCAGGATAAAGAGGGATAATCCCCCTCGATCCCAAATCATTGAGGCCAATTTCTAGCCATGGAGTGGTGGCGTACAGCAATTTACTTTTAAATTTTCATCAATTGCAATGTTTTGCTTGAATAAAAAATAATTGTTTACAAGATACATACAAGAAATTTTACATGTTAAGCAATGTACAGTTGGTAACACTACTGCCAACTAAACAAATTGCAGCAATTCTGTCTGATTGTGTGATAATAAGCATGCAATTTTATCCCGCAATTTTGTCGCTGCAACTAAATTGCATTGTCTGATACAGGCTTTAAAGTGAATAAATCATTTATGTTTGTCGTAAAGCAGTGCAGTTTTTTTTACGTAGACACGATTTTTATCAACATGAATAGGATTAGATCTGTACCGTTATGATGCCACAACATTCTTCCCAAGTGCTGTGCGCTATTTGACCTAATTTCGTGATGTGATGGTGACGGTCAACGTTTTTCGAGTCAACCTAATGTCTACTAGTTAGTAGATGCTTATACAGTGTGTTCCATCCGGGACTTTTACCGAACTATTGTAAACTTTTTTATTGTCGATTTTTCAGAAAAAGTTATTCCTCATAAAAAGTTTTTCTTATCTTGGAAAGCCATGGGCAGTAATCAAATATGTAATAAAACATACAGGGCGTCCAACAAATTTCAAAATATGAAATTTACCCTAAGAAAAGTACCTTTAATTTTTGTTTTCGTTAAAAACTGTATTTAACAAGGTTGTTCGAGAACTCAAGATATGCTTAAATACGGGGTTTAGTCGAAAAGAGCAATAATCACATTTAGCAAATAAAAAGACGCCGCAATTTTTAACTATCTTACATACATACATACATACATACAGGGTGTTAATGATAAGCTTTGCCAAACATTAATGGCGTATTCTTCCGATGAAAATAATCAAATTTTGCCCTATAAACATTTTTGATAGGACGCTTCCCTACGGAGATACAGGGTGTTAAATGTTTCAAATATTTATATGATTTTTCCTGTAACTATATCTCCTGTAAAATATTTAGTGATAAAATTTGTGGGGATGACATTTTTTTAGTAGAGACCATTTTTTCATGGATAACTTATCTACCAGAAACACTCCAGTGACGTAGTTACTGTGGAGTAGTACTTTTTTGAAATAAAATCGTACGCCACTGGTTTTTTTTAAATAATTTTATATGTTTTTAAAATGTACAATCAATTTGTGGCAATTAAGTATTCTTGTAAAGTATTCGTAAAATTTACTGGTCTTTAGATAATTGAGAAATCAAATAAGAAGATACTTAAGTGCCTACAGTACTATTTATCACTTTTCTATTGATTGCTAAATGTAATAATAAATTCAATATCTAATATTTTTGAGAGATTTCAAAACACTATACAACGCCACTCTTGTGTGTGTTGCAAAAAGTTTATTAATTTTCATTCAACTAAAAACAGATTTTAATAAAAAAAATATGGTATTCAACTTTGAACATTTATTGTGATGTTGTATAGTGTTTTGAAATCTCTCAAAAATATTAGGTATTGAATTTATTGTTACACATTTAGCAATCAACAGAAAATGATAAATAGCAACGTAGGTAAGCACTTAAGTATCTTCTTATTTGATTTCCCAATTATCTAAAGACCAGTAAATTTTACAAATACTTATTATTGCCACAAATTGATTGTACATTTTAAAAACATTTAAAGTTATTTAAAAAACCAGTGGCGTACGATTTTACTTCAAAAAAGGTCCCCTACTCCCCCAATAACTACGTCACTGGAGTGTATTTCGGAATAAGTTATCTATGAAAAAATAGTCCCTACTAAAAAAATGTTATCCTCCAAATTTTATCACTAAATATTTTTTGCTAGTGAAGTTATTTTTTATAGGGCAAAACTTGATTATTTTCATCGGTAGAATACGCCATTAAAGTTTTGCAAAACTTATCATTAATACCCTGTATATTACATACCATATTATTGCCATGGATATTTCCTTATCAATGTCAAAGTCAATATATTTTTTACAATTTCTGTCTGCTTTAAGTAAGATAGTTAAAAAATCGCTTGTTCTTATTTACGCATTTCTTGAGTTCTCGAACAAATTTGTTAAATACAATTTTTAATCAAAACAAAAATTAAAGATACTTTGCTTAGGGAAAATATCACATTTTAAAATTTTTTGGACGCCCTGCGTGTTTTACTACATATTAGATTACTGCCCATGGCTTCCCAAGATAAGAAAAACTTTTTATCAAGAATAACTTTTTCTTGAAAAATCAACAATGAAAAAGTTCACAAAGTGCGGTGCCTCATCCGAGTATATATCAAAGTATTTCATTATAAATAAGAGAAATATTACTAGAGGACAAATGATCCATATCTCTTGTATCCTAGAGGCACACCTACAAAATCGCTGTTCGATTTCTATTTATAAAGAATATATTATTTAAATACTTGCATATAGCTTCACACCTTGCTTTCCAAGAACAGAACACATAATAAAGAATTTTTTGATGCAACATTACAAAGATTTAATCAACACTCAATTTTGAAATAATACTTTTAAAATGTCATTTATTATTTTAAAGATAAATGCGTAATATACTTATTACAAACGTTCAAATATTAATGAAGTGAACTTACTAAAAATGTTGTCAACACTTCAAGATTGTATAGAGTGAGTTTTTAAAAAATCGGCAAGACGGGTTTTGATTCCATCTGAGACGTGTCAATGCGTGTCATACGCGTACAACTGCTACTATTTTCACATTTCAGTTAATGCTTTTTCGAAAATCAATAAACTTTACCTGAATATGCACTTCGGAGTTCTCGGGAAACCTGAACATCGACTTGATCTGAGCCTCGGCGATGCCCTTCTTCTCGTCGTAGACGAAGGGATCGATGATGTTCCCGACGGGGCAGCCCCTCTGGTCCACCAACTGCTCCGTGCTGTTGGGTCTGTTGAAGGCCAGGCAGTTCTTCACCCGGAAGCCGTAAGTGCTGTCCGGTCTCAGAATTTCCACCTTTAGGGTGTACGAACGGTGGTAGACTGCTTCGATCACCTTCCTGGTGCCTTCCGTGAGACGCAGGGAGACCAGGGAGGTGTTGAGGAAGCCCGCCTTGCCGCACGTGATGACGTAGAACTTGTCGTCGGCCAGCTCGAGGGTGCGGTGGATGCGGACGGCTATGGGAAGGGATCGCTCTTCCGTCTTCTAAAAAAAAGGGGATGATAAGTCTTTTGAAACGCATTAGAAATAATAATTTATTTTTAATAAATGAAACCTCGCATTCTTTGGTGAATTTTTAGGGGAGTCTTTCCTATAAAGTTGTTATCTAGGACTCTTCGTTAAAAAGATACAGGGTGTTAAACTTCAAAAAACATTTTGAATTTTTTTAAGTAATTTAAAAATTAGTAAGTGAAGTAATTTGAAATTGGGCACATGTATTTATGTAAATATTGTCCAAAATCTGAGGGCTTTTCCTAAAATTTATATGTTCCAGTGGTGGAGTTACGGGGTATCCGTGGCATATTTTTCTAAATAAAACAGTACGCCACTGCTTTACGGTAACAACCGTGATATTTTCGGATTCGTTTTTCAATTTTCTACAAATTACTACTCTCTTATGTTTTTCGAAAAAAGACTGATTTTCGAGTAAAACTTAAAAAATGAACTGAAAACACACGAATATAATGCTTTTTAAAATTACATAGTGGGCTGCCATAGACAAAATAGACTGAACTGTAGAGGCAAGCCGGTGAAGCCAACCGTCAGCCCAATCTCAGCCCAGCCAGCCTCGCGCTCTCAGTCGTCGTTAGACAATCGATGTGCTAACATTGTTAGTACTTCATTAAATATATTGTTTTTATTTGTGCAATCATGGGGCAGTGTATCGTTGACGATTGTAATAGCAGATCTGATCACAACAGTGCTGAAATTTCATTATTTAGGTAAGTAATAACATAAAATATTTTATGCCATTTGAACGGCTTCGCGCAGCATTCTCCATCTCACATGTACTTATTTCGTGTTTTAATAGCTGTTTTACATTGACAATTTATTGATGAATAAATTGACGAAGTTCTTCATGAATTAATTCACGAATTTATTGGTAAACAGTGTGGTTTTACACTGCTACAGACTTTATCAAGTTTTTTGACGCATGAATCAGTTCTACCAATGAATCAAAGATGCAAATACATTTCAAAAATGTCACCTTTCCACTCATAATTGTAGTGATACAACAGCGGTACCGCTTTGGGTTTATTTAAACAAAACATTAAAATATATTATTTTCTGAATTCCAAACTTGAACATTGAATATTTGTCATAAGTGTAAAAATACTGTTTAATCCGGACCTGATCAAAGTATGCGCCGTCAGATTACCTCACCACTCCACTTCCCCGCAATTTGGCTTCATCAGTTCCCATGCTTTGGGATAGGAAACGTACACTCTAGGTGCTCTGTGGTGGGCTGCGATAGCAACTTTGACATTTTGAGAAGTTAGAAGAAATAATAAATAATGCTTTTCATCAGATTCAAGCAACAATAAATTTCGAACAAATTACATTTTCGTTACTAAAAAGATGTCGGGCCTGTGTTCGTGGAAATGGAGGTATTTTTGAGCATTTACTCAAATAAAATCATTAAAGTGATGTTAATAATTTCTTAATTCCAATAAAATAACCTAATGATTAGTGCTTGTCATATCATTTAAGTAAATGTTTTCAGTTGGTTTTTGAAGCTTTACTCGAAAATTAGGCTTTTTTCGAAAGTAGATAATTGAAATAAGATTTCTAAATATCATGGTTGTTATCGTAAAGCAATGGCGTACTATTTTATTTAGAAACACATACCAACAATACCCTGTATCTCCGCCATTGGAGCATGCACGTTTTAGGAAGAGCCCTCATATTTTGGACAATGTTTACGTAAATACATGTGCCCAATTTCCAATTATTTCACTGAGTAGTTTTTAAATTTTTTTTTTAAAAATTAAACATATTTTTTGAAGTTTTACACTTTGTATCTTTTTAACGAAGCGTCCTAGACAGAAAATTTATAGGAAAGACTCCCCTTAAAAATTCACCAAAGAATACGAGGTTTCATTTTTGGTCACCATTTGTGAACCACCCTGTATTTTGGTAATAATTGTTTATTTCTTCGTATTTTTCTATATTTTTGAATAAGTACAAATAAAAGAATGTAGTAGTTAATACTGCAAAATATTTCTTTGATTATTTTATGGTAATCCAATAGTTTTCAGGGTTGCAAAGTATAGTATCTGTTTTCAAGAATGGAAACATTTTGACATTTAAGTACTACAAATTAATTTGGTCGTTTTACTAAAGTATTGTTTAATGATTAGGTGGTTGCTGTTATTGCTGTTGCTGATAGGTGCAAATTGTTGAACTAGTAAACATGTGCATAGAGCATACATATAGAAGAAAATGGTGATATACTACTTGTTCATTTCCTATTAGAAAAAACTAACCAATAGCTGAAGGATATGTCGAAGATTTTCTTCAACATAATGCAGATGCTTTTAAATTTACTGCTGATGGCTGATGCCTTTTAATACTAACTTGTCCTAAAGTTGCACTAGAAATTTTTAATAGAATGATGTCTCACAAAGAAAATGAGCCTCCTTTTGATAGTTTTACTAGTGGAATTCAAAATACGCTTTTGAAACCGAAATTTGAAACTCCACTTTCAAGGTCTATAATTTCTCGGGGGTAAGTTGAGTTAAATCATCATATTTTGGGTTCTCCTACATGTCTCCGATCTGTGTCGGTTCTTATGTGAAACACCCTGTACTTATCACGAGATTTTTAATTATAAAAAATAATATCTACCCACGATTTATTGCACTTTGTGTTGTTGACCTTTGAATAATTTTAGGCAACTTTTAGAGGTTTTAGAGGATTGGTAATATCCTTACTTTTTGATATTACACAATTAGTAAAATTTAAATTAGTTTAGTGACTTAGTTTTGAACACCTGACCTTTAAAATATTGCAAGAAAAGTCTATTTCTAGATTATCTTCTCGTTTTCATGCTACAGGAAAATGTACGTGTACATATCAGAACAAAACTGCCATGCAGACCATGAGTATTTACATAATAAGTGTAGGTTCACCTCGTCTGTATCCAATTCTTTTATGTTCCTTCCTATTCAATTCTGTTTCATTGAATTTTATAGTATTCGTTCGCTTTGAAAATACCAAATGGCATTTGTTTAATGTTTCGCTGCATTGTGAGTTCCCTATTATTATTTTATTTACAATAATTAAAGTTTATTTATAACTGCTAGTGTTTATGCACGCATCTTAAATTGTATTGATTTTGCTTTCACAGTTCTTCATTAATTATTGATGTAACAATAAACTGATGGTTATAATTACTTTTGATGGAATATATGAATATTTATATATTCAAAAACTGCTTCATAAGCAAGGCGTTTATATATTTGAAAGTTGGTACACCTGCTGCAACCCGTTAAATAAATTCTGCAGATAAACACGTATTTGGTTCACTTGTAGTTAAATCGGAGTAAAAGTCCTTATTCTATGGTTGTCGTTCGTTGTCTTTGCCTATTCTCATCGTCACCATTAGATCAAATCGTGGCGTGGTGTATGGCGTGTAGTGCTGGGCTGGATAAGTATCCGTTAATCCAGTTATTTTGGTGGAAATTATATTTAAATGCAGTGGTTTGATTACAATAATAGTACAGTCAGTGAAGCTGAAAATCAGCTGTAACCTCCGAATTCTTTGAAATTGCATGGATTTGCATGAAAATTTGGAATAAGGCTCATCTTAGGCTCAAGTTCAAAAGTGACATAAGCCCGATTGACGTTTTTTGTTTTTTAGGGGTAAAAACTACCCCTAAGTGAAAAAAATTGAAAAAGTTTTAAGCAAATTATTGATAAAAATCTTGTTCAAGCACAAAGATTAAATAATGTTCCATGTTCTCGAACATGTTTTATGATATATTTGTTTCTTTCGACCCTTTATTTAACCCTTAAAAACTACCCCTATGCAAAAAATAATAATAAAAAATTACTTTTTAAAGATTTGGAATGATTAAATCGCGCAATTATTTAAAATGAAAGTTACCTTATAGCTAATAAAATAATATTTCCCTTTCAACCCCTAAAAACCACCTCTGTATTGTCAAAAATGATAAAATATTACTTTTTAAAAGCTTGAAATGCTTTAACGGTGCAATTAATTAAAATAAAAATTCCCTCATTGCTTATACAAGAATTTGTATCTCATAACACTTTTCAACCCCTGTGCTAAAAAATTAATAAAAAAAATACGTTTTAAATCTTGGAATGTTATAGCTAATTGTGCAATAATTTAAAATAAAAATTCCCTTATATTGTTTATACACGCTGACGCGCACTTGAATCCTAACATTTTGCTCCAAAAATGAGAAAGCCTATTTTGCTCCGAAAAAATGTCATAGGTTTTTTACCATAACTCGGTTAATTTTGAAGTTATAGTATCCTATAAAAAAGCATTTCAAAGATAATTTCAAGAGCTGTAAGATCGTTTGCATATAAAACCTTTTAAGTACTTCGTTTTTTAAAGGGAAAGGATTGAAGGGCTCGAGACAGGTCGTTTTTTCATTAAAATGGATACTTCAAGCTGCGATCTCCTTTATTTTTTATGCTATAGGAATAAAAAAACAAAATATTTGTTGAAAAAGAGCAAATTTTTGTTGTCTATCATTTTTTACGTATCTTTCATAGTCTCAGAGTTATTATATAAATAAGGCAATTATTTTTTAATAATGAAAAATACGTTTTCAACTTTTACCGTACATTATTAAAAAAA